CCCTTTTAAAAAGTGCGCATTGATTTCCCCTTTCCCGGGGACCAAGCCCCGACATATGAAAATAACCGGTTTCCCTAACCCCTTCATAAATTTTACCCTTCCCCCCCCAACAGTCGTGGGCCCAGTCATTCGTCTCCTTCACTCTATCTAACACGCCCCCGCACGTTGCTGAAGTCCAAGCCCCTTACCCACAAAACCTCCTTTACCCCCTTTTTCCCCCCAACCCTTCGGGGGACGCCCCCCTACCCCGCTTCCCCTTCCCCTATAGATTTATATGCTTTCCATGTCATTCTACTTGATCCATTCTCTCTAAATGACCAAACCACCTCAACAACCCTCTTCTGCCCCCTGACTAATACTTTTATTAACTCCACACCTTCTCCTAATTTCCACTTTCCCCAATTTTCTGCATAATATTTTCACCCAATTGCCCTTAAAAGGACAAGGTTTGAAGCATTTATTTGGCTGCTATAAAGTAAACTGCTTTGTTCTTATGACTGGGAATGGGAAAATTTCACTAGTGGCACTTAACATCTTTTCAAATTAAATTTTCAATTTTTACAGGAAAATTGTGAAAAAATACTTTTATATTTTTTAATTTTAATTTATTTTTATTTGAACATGACTTTGGGTTTTTATTTAAGTTTTTTCGTTTTTATTTTCTTTGGTGTTTTTATGTATTTTTTTTTTTGTAATTAAGGGTTTCCCCCAAAAATGAGTACAGGTTGGCCATCTTTTAATCTGCAAAAACAGTAAACTGGTTCCATCGATAATCCGGCACTAATTTTTTGGTAGCTGGGAAAAAGAACTTTGTCCTTGGGGGCAAAGAGGGGGAAAGTATGGAGTATAGTTTTTCCCAAAAATCTATATGGGTGTGAAGCTGGGTGAGAATGTTTTCAGCGGGAGAAGGTGGGGGGCAGTGGAAGTCAGTCTGAGGGGGAATGTGGTGTGAAAATAATGAGGGAAAATTTGTAGTTTGGGGAAGTTGGGAGGAGGTGCGGGATTACCAAAAAACTGTTGCCCGAGGGCTGAGGAAAGGGTTTTTTTTTGGTGGTTCGACATTTAAAAGAATGGGCGAAAAAGAATGACTTCAAGAGTGTACAATCTGTGTGGAAGGAAGGCGGGGGGGAGGGTCGCTAGGAAAAGGTTTGGGGGGGGGGGTAAAGGAGTTTTTTGTGGCGAGGGGCTTAGCTTCCAGCAGGGATGCGGAGCGTGTTTGATAGGAGTGAATGGAGACAAATGGTTTTTTAAACTTACGGCTGTTGGAGTGTGAGCAAAGTAACTTATAAGGGATTCGGGAACCGGCAGGCTGGACTTGAGTCCTGGAGATGGGAAGTACAGTGCCTGCACTCTGAAGGGGGTGTTAATGTTGCAATTTAAAAACTGTAGTGTAAAGCACCCTTCTGGCAAGACATGATGGAGTGAATGATGGTGAAAGTTTTTCTTTTTTGGGCTACCCTCCCTTTGGTGGGAATCGGCCAGTGTGTTAATAATAAAAAATAAATAATTTCAAATTCCCGGGGTTGCCACACCAATCTGCCGCTACTGTTTGGTGGCTTTAGTGCCTTACAAGTCTTTCGAATTTCTTTTTCTTCATGTATTGTTATAACCTGACCCTTTTTACCCCTACCCAAATGGTTCCAGTGAATAAAAGAAATGCTTCTTGTTGTGTAAAGCACATACACCTTACATTGTCTATAAATGATAAGGGCCTTTAAAGCCACTGTCAGTTGCCATGACTCAGCTCACTCAATATGCTGTGACCAGTAAATTTGGGGCCCCACATATGAGAGATAGGTCTTGTGTGGTAAGTGTGCTCTATATAAAAAAAAAATACTGCAGCATGCAGTGCACAATGAGAAAAAATAGCGGGCCATGCTCTTGATGTAAAACAGCGACTTTTGTGGGTATTTTGTATGGTTTGTAGGTTGGTCTCATTTTTTGTAGAATGGAAGATTAACAGAAATAGATATAATTTTTTGAGGGGTTTCAGGGGAAAAGTACCTTAAAATTGGGGTCAGAGTAGTGGAATTTCGTTTTTTCCCAAATGTTAAAGAGTAAAAAATGACACCTTTTCCAATTGTCCAATTGCTCACCTTGCCACATGAAGTAATTGACAATGTGAAACCGAGGCTGAGGGAGGAAAGTGCGGGGGCAAACCCAAACCAGACAAATACTTGAAAAACCTTTTCTATTCCCTTTTTCCTCACTACTACGACCAATGAAGCCCCTGTACAGCCACATAATATGATCTAGACCCAGGACAGCAGTACTTTTGTGACATTGACATACCTGCTGCCTGTCCAACTCCTTGCAGCTATGCAATTGTCTTTCACTGAAAGGGGCTCAGTACTCATAAAATGTATAGTTAGCCAAATAGCAGAGTCGGGGTGGCAACACCATTACATATTTAACTGTTTTTGAAGGGTACCCTAGTGTTGTTTATTATTTTTGTGTATTTTGTTTTGGTTAGTGCTTTGAAACCCATCCATATAGCCACAGTGTTCTTTTCCATTGAGTGATAGAATACAAGAATATAAGATAGAGGAACTTTTGCAGTGGGGCCTCTTGTTCTTTTTGGGCAGGTCCTTTAAAATTCAGTCCTTCGCTATTGTGTGTAATCCATTTTTAAATTTCTAAAGATTTTTAATTTATGTAAACCAAAATTGGCAGATTGCCCACGATCACAAGTTTTTGCAAACCAGTACTGGCCTATGTTCTTTGAAATCTGAATTTACCCCAATTGAAAAAATTGTGTAGCAAGCTTCATATTTGATTTTTTTTTCAGAGGCAGGTTTTTTGTTGGCATGTTTAAAGGGTTTGGGCCGTAAGAAGTTTATTCCTTTTTGTAGTGAGAACGAAAAAAAGGGAATGTGCACCCCCTCGGGTTTTTTAGACTTTACATTCATGATTCAAGCAACGCGGGGTTTTAGGCAGAGGCTGTTTGATCATATGCTACGGGGTAAAAGGGGTACATTTTCTTTTGTTGAAGTCCCAAAATTATTCAAAATTCACTTAAATTACCAGAAAATGGTAAAACTATGTCCATAAATTATCAGGGGGGAAAAGAAGCAAAATTGACTGTCTGATAGAGAAGACCAAATAAATGATGGCGTTTGGTTGATTGGTCTGATATTTATTGTGAATATTTAGTTTTCTGCAGCCTTACTTTTCTTAATTTTATGCTACTGTTTTTTTTCTCATCATTTGGTTTTTTTGAATGATACAATCCCATTTGCCCTTTTTCTCAATAAAAGTATAATAAGACAGTGTTATGTATGAATGTTGGTGAAAGTGTTTCTTCTTTTTGGTCACCCTGTGTATTTAGAAAGGAAGTAACTTTATTGTTGTATAATTCATCATAAGTCAGAGATCGGGAGAGTTTATCTGGAGAGAGTTCCGGGGGTCAACGCCCCCCGGGGCCCAGTCTGTGACCAGGCCTCCTTTAGGTCAGGTCCCAGATGCGACCCACACCAGTCGACTAAACCCAGGTACCCATTTTACTGATGGGAAACATAGACAACAGTTGGAAAGAAACACGTCCAATTTTTTTCTACTCTGACTGGGAATCGAAACCCCCGGCCCTCACCCTGTGAAGCGAGAGCGTTAACCACCAGTTCTCTATTAGGGGATAGATTAAGTACTGTAAATAATAATTTAAATACTGTATTTCAAATCTTTTTAACATATTCACTAGTAAACCTGTCTCTGTAGGCCTAGATTTTTTTTTTTTTTTTTTTTTTTTTTTTTTTTTTTTTTTTTTTTTTTTTTTTTTACTTTGGGTTTGGTATTGTGAATTTTTGGGGATTATCTGATTTTGTATTTGTTTGTTTCTACATATTATTTAGTTTTTTTTTTTTCTTCAAAATTTAGTGTTGGTTTTCATCCCTTTATATTCTTTGTTTACTACTGTTTAGTGGGATATTAAGTTGATAAAATTTGAGTACAAGAGGACCACTAATCACTGTATTATTTTTTTTGAATGATAGTTTTTTGTGTTAAATATTGTAGATTGTGAGATGGAGATCTAAATTTTTGGGGGCCGTACCATACTGATTTAGGGGCCCCTGTTGATCATGAAATTATATCAGATTAAATTTATGCGATACCTTGTAAATCCTAATAGACTGATCTTTATCAACTTTTAGGATGGTCCTCTGTTTTTTCTCTGCTTGTTTAATGTTATCGTCTATTCTATAATGATGCTTTATTAGTGTTGCGATATCAGTGATATAGCAGTCACCTGTGGTTACTTATCTTTTTTTTTTTTTTTTTTTTTTCACAAATGGGCCCTTTTCCACCAAGGCAGGGTGGCCAAAAGAAAACAAAGTTTCTCTTTTAAATTAGTAATTTACAGGAGAAGGGTTACTAGCCCTTTCTCCTGGCATTTTAGTCGCTTTTTACAACACGCATAGCTTACAGAGGAAGAATTCTGTCCCACTTCCTGGAGAAAGAAAAAAAGAAGAACCTAAGTAAGAAAATAAGAAACCCAAGGGGTGGTGTATATTTAGCGTCTGGTATGTAGTGGCCTAAAGGTATAGAATTACAGAAGTATGACTTTCTTAGAGAAAAAATGGACACCCAAACCCACCATCATGTTAAAACAAGTTAAGCTTTCGAATTATTGGAGGACGTAGTACCCCCAGGCGGTTGTGTCTAAATATACAGCATCTTGCTTACGTATTTTTTTTACCTAATTATTTTCCCAAATGATATTTCCCTGCCCCCAGTGGAGAGACCGATTTTTGGAAAAAAAAAAAAATAAAAAATAAATTCCAAACTTCCCTTCACTGGTATCATTCATAATAAACATGCTTTTTCTGTAAAATTCACAAATTGGGGACTGCAAAAAATAGGGAACTAGCTCAGGGCACATAAGGTTTCTTATTTGATGAGCTGAAATGGCATTTAGGTATAAATAAATGTCTATTATTTGGTGAGCATGCAATTGTTTTTCAAGGGAATAGAAAAGTACAATGTACTTTCTTTCAATTTCTCAGGATCAGAATGTTTTACCAGGTCACATGGCAGTTGACAAGCCCTCAGATAAGTTCCTAGGATTTCCTGCGGAAGCACTATCACCTCTACAAGCAAGTCAACCAGCTGAACAAACTTTGTTGTCTTTGATACCTTCTTTACTGATAGACCAAGTAAGTATACATGGACTAAAATTTGTATCATAAGTTTGAAATGTAGTAGCAGACTGTTTTCCCAGATTCTTGTTCACCTTGACCTTCGCTTAATTTCTAAAAAGGAAGTTAACATCAATAATCCTTTGCTTGTCCAGTATTTTTGCATTCTCCCACCAAGTGATAAAAATCTTTGGTGCATTGAGACATCTGTGGAGACAGTTATATCTATATAAGCCAAAAGGTGAATGTACCAGAGTATAATGGTAATAACATTTATGTGAGTGTGAAGCACAGGTTTAAATGTCACATCAAGGAGGAGGCAGGTGAGGGCAGTATGTAGTGTGAACATGATGAAGAGAAGTTGGAGTGTGTATATTAAAAGGTGTGGGGTTATAAAAACTATAATTTAGAGGGCTGTGGAGGGGTTCTTGAGGTGGTTTGGGCAAAATAGGATGACCAGGAGGGTATAAATTTGAAATGCAGGGAAGGAGGGTGGGATTCATCCTCTGAAGGGAAGATGAGTAAAAGAGGCTTTGAGTTTGAGGCTTGAGCATTCGCCAACTTCATTGCAAAACACACGTATGTGTGTGCATGTGTGTGCACGTGTGTGCACGCGTGTGCGCGTGTGTGCGTGCGTGTGTGCGCGCGTGTGTGCACGCGTGTGCGCGCGCATGCGCACGTGTGCGTGTCCGCCCGCCCGCCCGCCCACCCGCCTGAATACATGTAGCATTGGTGTGCCTCTGACAAAACAGTGATGGAGTGAGTGATGGTGAAAGTGTTTCTTATTTTTCAGGTTACCCTACTTGGTGGGAGACAGCTGGTAAATTGAATTTTTTTTTTACAGTATGCATAAGTTCTACTGGCCTCAAAAATGTATACTCAGTATACGTGAAACAGTGAAAGGGTTAAAAATGCTTACCATTGGACTAACTCCTTTTAGATCCTCAATTCTGAACGTGTTTGCCTATTCATTGAGCTGACTCTTTTTTGTCATGAATATGGCAGTAAACTTTGCAAGATTTCCTATCGATTAACTGATGTAATTGTTAGGATTTATTAGCCATTGCGTACTGTACCTCAGTTTTTGCACTTTTCAGATTTTTTTTTTTTTGTGTGTACATGATGGGGGCTGTTGCTAGGTGAAATGGCACTGTACTACTTTTTTGGTTTTTTGCTTCTGTAATTGACACAGACCAACAAAATACTGTGCTTGTACTTCTTATATATGATAAATAATGTGTATAATTTCTGAAATTCTACTATTAGTTGCTGAATGTGGTGGCTGTAGGATTATTAGGTGCAAAATGTTTTATATATAGTAGTATATGCACAACTTCCTTTAGGTAATGGAAGAGTGGGTATCAGGGTTTAAGGGAAGATATGGGGGGGTGAATTATTCAGATTTTGGGAGTGGACATGTCACAAGGGTCTATGAAAGATGAGGGGAATCATAGAATTGACGGGGCAAAAAGGCGATGGTGCACAGAGGATCTGTGGGGACAAAGAATTTTTAAACCATAAAGAAAGGGAAAGGGGAAGAGAAAGTAGTTTAACCAACCTCTTATAGGGTGTGGGGCTGGTGGGAATGTTGCAACAAGAAGGCTGGAAGAGTGCAGATGTCATTCTGAGAGCAGTGTGGTATGAATAAATCAGAAATCCCTTTTTTGGAGATCGGGAGGAGGTGCGGGATTACCCAAAAATTATCCAAGGGCTGAGGAGGTTATTGAGATGGTTTGGACATGTAGAAAGGATGGAATGAAAGAATTACTTCGAGAGTGAAAATCGTAGTAGAGGGAAGGGAGGGGAGGGGTCGCTTAGGGAAAGGGTTTGGGGGGAAGGGGGAAAGGGAATTTTGTGTGAGAGGGGCTTGGCTTTTCCACAAGCGTGCATGAGCGGTTAGATAGGGGCAAATGGAGACAAATGGTTTTTTGGGCTTTATGTCGTTGGAGTGTAAGCAAGGTAACATTTTTGAAGGAATTCAAGGGAAAACCCCCTGCTCCAAAATTGATTCCTGGAGATGGGAAGTACATTTCCGTCACTCTGAAGGTGTGTTTAAAGTTGCAGTTTTATAACAATTTAAACATGCCTTTTGGGAAAACAGTGATGGATGAATTAGATGGGGTTTTTCTTTTTTTTGGGGCACCCGCTTGGGGGGAAATGGCTGATGTGTTAAAAAAAAATAAATCATGCATATAGGATAGTCTTTGTAATAGAATTTTTCTTTCAAGTTGCTTCTGAAAGGCGGGTTTAACATTTTTTGGGCCCAGTCCTCGTGCTTATCTCCAGACCCAGCCCGTCACCTACTCATCCCGGCGTCCTTCTTTATGCAATTATTTTCCCCCCTCTGCTGGTCGACCCGTAATGCACTCGGAGCCTACTAGCATGTGCGTTTTTTTTATTTTTATCCTTTTCAATTGTTTTCAACTCGATAAAGCAAGACTTATTTTTTGATAAATCATTTAAATAAAATCTGTATATGTGCATTTTTATCTATTAAAATAAGCTTGTGGTTTTCCAGGGTTGATATCCTTCATGGCCGTCCTGACGCCACACTCCAACGCTTGCCCTCTTTTTCCTCGTACCAAACAACTCTTGATGTACTATTCAAATTATATTTTTTGTTTTAGTATTAAACTTGTGTGACTTTTCATGACATAAATCTTTTTGAAAAATGGGAAAAGGAACTAAAGTAGTATTAATATATTTAGTACAGTAAACCCTCTAATAGCAAGTGGGATACATTCCTGAGAATCAGTGTCCTGTGAAAATTATGCTTTCGTGAAATGAAGTATGGGACATCACATATCCAAATACTTTTTTTCAGTGTTGTACTAGGTAAAAATTACTAGTTTGTCCTGCGCTTACATTCTGTTGCCATTCTGTATACTTAAAGCATTTAAAGAGTGAGAGGGAGTGTGTTAATGTAGGCCTTCTGGCAGAGTTGGATGTAGCCAGGGTATCAGTTGAGAGACATTGTCTGTGTCGACGATGTAAAAATAAGCCACTTTTCCTTGCCAAATCGTACCAAATGTATAGGAACTTGCAACAGTATACTAAACTAACATACAGTAGACCCTCAACTAATGCTGGTGTTACATTCCAGAATAATGGCTCTATATTCAAATTAGCATTATTCAAAGTGAAGAATGCAGGGAAAATAGGGTTGTGTTCCTTGGAGCTCTAAGCCTAAAGGAAAAAACACATCTGGTTGCTGTTACTTGTTATGTGCAAATGTATGGTAAGAGTTAACATATATTACTGTTAATAAGACAACCTCAACCGTATGGTGGAGGAAGAGGATAATTTCTCTCGGATAATCAGATTTTTGCATAGCCCCAGGCATAAAGATTGGAGAGGGGGTATTATTTTCAGGCCTCGCTTTTGGGAGTAAATTTTTTTTTTTTTTTTTACATCAGCAGTCAACACGTGCTGTATTAGTGAGGTATGTCTGTACTTACTTACTAATGATGCTATTGAATGAGTGCTAGTGAATGTTTCCTTTTTTGAGATGCCTTACCCTGGTGAGAAAAGGCTGTTGTAAAAAAAAAAAATTATTTTCAATTCTTCTGAATATTCTGGTAGCCAGTGTGTTAATAAAAATAAAAAAAAAATTCTGGTAGCATTTTCTAGAGGTGTCATATAAAGTATACACTATCTTCTAGTGGATGCGAGGGCAGACTTCTGGTGGAGAATCTCCATTTTCTCAAACCCCTACTTCGTACTCTGCGTCTCGAACTCCATCAAATACAGGCTCTCCATTACGTACTCCATGGGCTGGGTCTCCTCCACGCACTCCATACACTCCACACACTGCCACTGGTTCACAGCCTCTTAGTTACAAGAACAGCATTGACCTGGTGGATGGACATGTGTAAGTACGATTGATTGCTATTAGTTTATACAATTAAATAAAATTAGTTTTAAAGTTTTTTTTTTTTTTTCCAACAAGTCGGCCGTCTCCCACCGAGGCAGGGTGACCCAAAAAAGAAAGAAAATCCCCAAAAAGAAAATACTTTCATCATCGTTCAACACTTTCACCTCACTCACACATAATCACTGTTTTTGCAGAGGTGCTTAGAATACACAGTTTAGAAGCATGTACATATAAAGATACACAACATATCCCTCCAAACTGCCAATATCCCAAACCCCTCCTTAAAGTGCAGGCACTGTACTTCCCATTTCCAGGACTCAAGTCCGACTATATGAAATAACCGGTTTCCCTGAATCCCTTCACTAAATATTACCCTGCTCACACTCTATAGTTTAAAGTTTAATAGTTTAAAGTTAATGTATCTAATTTTAAAAGAATTGGTATATTGTTTTGACTGAAATGAAGTTAAGGGTATACAGGAGGGCCCTGTTTTGTATAGATCTTAGGTTCCTGACCCCCGTGTGATAAGTGAAAATTGCTGGCAGATGGAAAAGTGTTTTTAATTATCAAATGTCTAAAATGCCTGATAATGTGTTTACACTATCATACATTAAGTAATTAATACATACAGCTAAGCATAAAAAACAAGATAAGGTAAAATAGAGTACATACAATACTTACCTTAAAATATAGCACTGGCCACCCTTCCCTTACACAACTGTTGTGTGGAAAAGTGATAAAAAACACCAAACACAATGAACATTGGCTTACTTGAAAGCCAGTGAAAATGTGGAACACTAAAAAGAAGGGTCCTCTTCTTTAGGTATATCAGTTTTTTTTTTTTCCTTATTCCTGTTACATTCATATTCCCATCTCCTCCTCCTCCTCCTTTCCCTTCTCCTCCTTCCTCTCTTTTTCCTCCTCCTCCCTCCTCCTCCTCCTCCTCCTCCTCCTCCTCCTCCTCCTTCCTCCTCCCTCTTCCTCCTCCCTCCTCCTTCCTTCCTCCTCCCTCTTCCTCCTCCCTCCTCCCTCCTTCCTTCCTCCTCCCTCTTCCTCCTCCCTCCTCCTCCTTCCTTCCTTCCTCCTCCTCCTCCTCCTTCCTCCTCCCCCCTCCTCTCTCCTCCTTCCTCCTCCTCCTCCTCCCTCCTCCTTCCTCCCTCCTCCTCTCCCTCCTCCTCCTCCTCCCCTCCTCCTCCTCCTCCTCCTTCCTCCTCCTTCCTCCTCCTTCCTCCCTCCTTCCTCCCTCCTCCCCCCTCCTCCTCCTCCCCCCTCCTCCTCCTCCTTCCTCCTCCTTCCTCCTCCTTCCTCCTCCTCCTTCCTCTTCCTCCTTCCTCTTCCTCCTTCCTCCTCCTCCTCCTCCTCCTCCTTCCTCCTCCTCTCTCCTCCTCTCTCCTCCTCCCCTTTCTTTGCTGCAACATTTTTTAGACTATGCCTTGCAATCCTACAAAAGTTTTGGCATCATTGTATGTACTCTTGTACATTTTCCTGTTCATACCCTTTTGGGAAATTTTTCTGTATGCAGATGCCTCAACACTTAACTTTTTTCCGTCATCTGTTCTCAGGGTCATTTTATCTTTCATAGACTAATACTTTATCACCCCCAATTATTTAAATACATAGCTCTCCCTATATTTTTCTTTCTGTCTGACAGCATCTTTGCTTAGACCTTGCTCTCACTCATCTCCTTGCTCTTTTCTATGTTTCATTCTTTGCACTTCCTCCCAAACTACTCCACCAACATTTTCATTTTCTTTTCCCAAAACTCCCAAAATTCATTGTATAGTTAGTTAAGGCAGTTGTCCCCTTTGACAGATTCATATCTGTTAAGCCTGTGTCTTTTTTCCATCACACTAGTGTTTGCCTTTTACAAACCCTGTTTGTAAATACAAACCACCATAGTGGCAATACAAAATCCCTGTCTAAGGTCCAATTTTACCGGGAAAGTAATTGTAGGTTATCTTACATTTTATCTTATCTATACATTTGCAACACATGCAGCATCACTTCCTATTGACCTAGTCTGTGCTTTCCAACTCCATTCATGCAACAAGTACCTCTTTGCTCTTATCTAGGTTTTTTTTGCTTTTGTGTTTTATTGTAAACACTTTATCCACACATTCCTTTTCCTTCTTAAATCCACCTGTTTCTCCTTAATTCTACTTTAACTATTCAAAATAATTATGCTATACACTTTACAATCCTATAGGTTGATGAATAAGATACTTGTGCAACACTTCAGTATCTGTATTGTGGAAATATTTCACCAATCAGACCATGTACACAGAAAGAGGGGCTTATATACTGCAGACAGGTGAGGTAAAGCAGTTGCAGGCAGTATCACCATGGAAAAATCCACAGGTAGAAATAGGTCATGCCTGTAGGTTAGACAAGCATAGAATTCCCTTATCAGCATTGCAAGAATGTTGTTTGTGTCTGACGGGAATTTGTAGATAAATGGTTCAGAGAACTGACAAGTTGATGAATGAGACACTGTGTTGCATAAGTGTCTCATTTATCAGGTTGTCAGTTCTCTGAACCATTTACCTACAAATCCTGTAAGTGTTTAGATAGTGGCAGCATGCCAACAGTTTGTAAAAGAGAGAGAAATGCAGGGCTCCTCTATATTTGTTGTTTTCACCAATCCTATAATTCATATTCATTCATTTATCCTTGTGCAAAGTAACTATGTATGCTCATTATTCTGTATTGACTTCAAGTAAAGTTATATTTTTGTTAACAGAAGTCTCCAGGGGTCAATAGCCCCTACTCCAGCCACATCTCCTGAACGTCGCTCTCCTCCCAAAGAGCCGCAGGAAGATGGTGAAGCTGATGTAATTGATCAGCAGCCTTTGGTGGAGGAAGATGGTATGGTGGAGAAGGTAGAAAAGTTGTCAGTGTCTGCCACTCCTCAGTCACCAGGTAGGTTTACACATACCACATAAGTTGGCACTGTTTTAGTTTGATAAGTTATGCTTCTACTGTTGCACTTTCTTGTGTAATTTTATTCAAAATTGTTTAAGCAGTGGTGCAACATGTTGGTAGAGGTATGTTTGTATTTATGTACTTACCAGATGATATAGTGGGTAATTTTGCTTTCTTCCTCGTATCTCTGCTTGTATTCCTGTTTCTATTCATGCTACTGTTCTCCTGCCGCTGCTGCTGCTGTTATTATTGCTGCTGTTACTGCTCTTCCTCAAATTGCTCATCTCCTGCTGAGACGACTCTTTCTCTTACCATGGGTCTTTTCTTTCTGTTGCTACTATTGCTGTTCCTCCCACCTTTTCTTCTCTGAAATCCTCCTACTTTTCCATTGTGTAATTTCTTCTCTCCATTCTCCATAATCTTCTGTTTTCTTCCCTCTGCCACTGTCACTCTAGGACTATGAGACATTAAGGAACTAGAATATCAACTTTACCAGGTGTGAGTGATCATTGTCTGATGACAGAGTGCCTGGTGGACGTGTAGTGACAGTAAAGTACCTGAAAAACTTGGACAAAATTAAAAGGGTATTTATATCTTTGCACAAACCCTTCTTGAAAATGGAAGACACCTAACCCCAAGTGACACTGAAGTACATATTGATGAATATAGAAGAGGTATAGAAAAACTGAACCAGCAGGACATTAAGAGAGTAATAGTTCTAAATAAAATGTCCTTATGGATACTCAACAATGGGCAGATACCCTAAGCAACACTACTTCAGAGATGAGAGAGAACACACCTAGAAATTTATTGAATGTACGTACAATAGTAACAGTATTCAAGATTGGGGAGAGGGAAAAAAAAAATTCCTCAACCACAAATCAGCTTACCTGACATACACACACTATAAAATACTGGAGAAGGTCCTAAATAATTGAATGATAGAATTAAAAGTATAAGCTTTACCATGAACCAACAGTATTAAGTTTAGAGAAGGGAAAATCATGCCTCACCAGGCTACTGGATTTCTGATAGCACAGATGGTAAGGAGAGCAGACTGCATTTTCCTTGACTGTCAGAAGACCCTTGATAAAGTGCTTGACTGTTGTTTCACTGAGTACTGTATAGTAAGTGCTGTACAATACTTTGTGCAACACCTGTGAGTGTGAAAACTAGTTCACACTACATTTGTGCAAAATGAAATGAAGATGTAGGTTTAGGTTCCAGTTATTTAAATACAAATGCTTCCTCCATATTATCCTTCCTATGTGACATGCAATCTTTCTTTGTTTAGACTTACTGTCACTCATCTTGCTCTTTTCTATGTTTCATTCTTTTGCACTACCTCCCAAACTACTACACCTCCCATTTTATTAAGGCTAATAATAACTTAGGTTGATGTTGGCCTCCTGGACCTAAGTGAATAGCTGTGCTTCTTGTGAGATGAAATCTTTTCAGTAAAAGATGTTTGTCTTTTGGGTGGTAATGGTAATATATTTTGTAATGTGTTTGGTCTGCATTATCCTGCATAACTGTATACAACTGATTGTGGCATTTTCAGTTGTTTTAGATCCTGTTTCAGCATCAGACTTCTTTTCATGGTAGGTTTGACTTTAGTGAACCCCACTTATAAGCTGGTCCATAATCAAGCAGAGTATGTTTTCATTTTCAGTGTGAGCTATTTTTGGTTCTCGTAATCTCCATATTTGATCTTTGGACTCATTGGCAGTTTTCTTATTTGCATGGTTCACTCACAGACGAGTAAGACGTATGCAAATTTTGTCAAAACAGTTCCCCTCTACAGCAGGCTTCTTCAGGCAAATACAGGTGATTGACACTGGAGACATTAGAAGTAGTGGAGAGGTAATTTTGAGGATATAAGTCCCCCTTAGCCTTAATAGGTAGTCAGTTCCTTAGGCTGAAGCAGACACACGAGACTAGAGACTTACACTGGAACTAGAAATGAGATGTAGCAACTGGAGATAACATCACAGGTGAGCAGAAGTAGTAGTGGAAGTAGGTCATACTGAACAGTTGTTAGCAACAGAGTTGGAGAAAAACATTGCCTGTACCAAGATACCATTTGTGTTGCTGTCAGATAAGTACCATTTAATTGGTATACAATACTGACAGTTGATGGGTAACAGACAGATATTTTTAATGTCAAAATGTTTTTCTTGCACTGCAGGCTTCTTCAGTCAAATACAGGTAGTTATAATGCTGGAGACAGTGTTTGTGCCACTACATTGGTACCTTTTTCCCTAAAAAAAAATTTCTTAATTCAGACTCCTCAACACACTACCCATCTTTTCTCTCTCTTGTCTATTCTATAGTTCATCTTATTTTCATAGACCCTTCTGCCAACAAGTCCACCCCCAAATATCTAAATACACTTTCTTTCTCCATAGTCCCTCTCGCCTGTCTGATATTTAAATCTTTCATTTCTAAGAGTTAGTGCTACTTTCATCATCTTGTTTCTGTGTTCCCTATAAATTTCCTTTGTTTACATACCTCCAGTCGTTCTTTATAATTTTTCTCTGGAATCCATTTTAATATATGTGTCTGAACCTTTTCTCCTTTGCATGTCTTTTATGTAAATGGGGATGTTATACTACAGCTGCTGCCAGTTTAGTTTAGAATATTAATTTTTTAACATGCATATATTTTGATAGCATTAATGCAGTTTTTGGTGGTAACTTGTACAGTAGTTTGTAAACACCACAGATCTTTCTCTCTGTTCAGTATCTGTCATATTATCACATGTAATCTTTGAGATGCATTTTCAGTTTCACCCATTTCCAGTACTTTGCTACTACCATCCTTCATTATTAATCTCTGCTCAACTTGTATATATCTTCGTTCAGGCTTTTACAGTTATTTTGATCTTCTGATGTTCACAAGATTTTTGTTTCATCCTTTACATATTTATATTAAAATTGTCATGTGCTAATTTTCTTCTGTCAAGGCAGGGTGAGCCAAGTCATTTTTTTTTTTTTTCAACAAGTCGGCCGTCTCCCACCGAGGCAGGGTGACCCAAAAAAGAAAGAAAATCCCCAAAAAGAAAATACTTTCATCATCATTCAACACTTTCACCACACTCGCACATTATCACTGTTTTTGCAGAGGTGCTCAGGATACAACACTTTAGAAGCATATACATATAAAGATACACAACATACCCCTCCAAACTGCCAATATCTCAAACCCCTCCTTTAAAGTGCAGGCATTGTACTTCCCATTTCCAGGACTCAAGTCCGACTATATGAAAATAACCGGTTTCCCTGAATCCCTTCACTAAATATTACCCCTGCTCACACTCCAACAGATCGTCAGGTCCCAAGTACCATTCGTCTCCATTCACTCCTATCTAACACGCTCACGCACGCTTGCTGGAAGTCCAAGCCCCTCGCCCACAAAACCTCCTTTACCCCCCCTCCTCCAACCCTTTCGAGGACGACCCCTACCCCGCCTTCTTTCCCCTATAGATTTATATGCTTTCCATGTCATTCTACTTCGATCCATTCTCTCTAAATGACCAAACCACCTCAACAACCCCTCTTCTGCCCTCTGACTAATACTTTTATTAACTCCACACCTTTTCCTAATTTCCACACTCTGAATTTTCTGCATAATATTTACACCATACATTGCCCTTAAACAGGACATCTCCACTGCCTCCAACCGTCTCCTTGCTGCTGCATTTACCACCCAAGCTTCACACCCATATAAGAGTGTTGGTACTACTATACTTTCATACATTCCCTTCTTTGCCTCCATAGATGACGTGTTTTGACTCCACATATACCTCAACGCACCACTCATCTTTTTACCCTCATCAATTCTATGATTAACCTCATCCTTCATAAATCCATCCGCCGACACATCAACTCCCAAGTATCTGAAAACATTCACTTCTTTCATACACCTCCTCCCCAATTTGATATCCAATTTTTCTTTATCTAAATCATTTGATACCCTCATCACCTTACTCTTTTCTATGTTCACTTTCAACTTCCTACCTTTACACACATTCCCAATACTCATCCACTAACCTTTGCCATTTTTCTTTAGAATCTCCCATAAGCACAGTATCATCAGCAAAAAGTAACTGTGTCAATTCCCATTTTGAATTTGATTCCCCAAAATTTAATCCCACCCCTCTCCTGAGCACCCTAGCATTTACTTACCTTACAACTCCATCTATAAATATATTAAACAACCATGGTGACATTACACATCCCTGTCTTAAGACCTACTTTTACCGGGAAGTAGTCTCCCTCTCTTCTACACACCCTAACCTGAGCCTCACTATCCTCATAAAAACTCTTTACAGCATTTAATAACTTACCACCTATTCCATATACATGCAACATCTGCCACATTGCTCCTCTATCCACTCTATCATATGCCTTTTCTAAATCCATAAATGCAATAAAAACTTCCCTACCTTTATCTAAATACTGTTCACATATATGCTTCAATGTAAACACTTGATCTACACATCCCCTACCCACTCTGAAACCTTCTTCTCATCTGCAGTCCTACATTCTGTCTTACCTCTAATTCTTTCAATTATAACCCTACCATACACTTTTCGTGGTATACTCAGTAAATTTATTCCTCTATAATTTTTACAATCTCTCTTGTCCCCTTTCCCTTATTAAAGGGACTATACATGCTCTCTCCGCCAATCCCTAGTACCTTCCCCTCTTTCATACATTTATTAAACAAAAGTACCACCACTCCAACACTATATCCCCCCCCTGCTTTTAACATTTCTGTCATGATCCCATCAGTCCAGCTGCTTTAACCCCCTTTCATTCTACGTAATGCCTCACGTACCTCCCCCACACTTACATTCTGCTCATTCTTCCCTCCTAAAAGATGGTAATACCTCCCTGACCAGTGCATGAAATTACCGCCTCTCTTTCTTCCTTAACATTTAAAAGTTCCTCAAAATATTCCGCCATCTACCTAATACCTCCATCTCCCCATCT